TGCGTTATACGTTTGTAACATGCTTTATGCATTTGTAACATGCTTTATACATTTGTAACATTTTTTATATGTTTGTAACATGCTTTATACGTTTGTAACATGCTTTATGTGTTTGTAACATGCTTTATACATTTGTAACATTTTTTATACGTTTGTACCATGCTTTATGGGTTTGTAACATGCTTTATACATTTGTAACATTCTTTATACGTTTGTAACATGCTTTATGTGTTTGTAACATGCTTTATACATTTGTAACATTTTATATACGTTTGTAACATGCTTTATGTGTTTGTAACATGCTTTATACATTTGTAACATTTTATATACATTTGTAACATGCTTTATGCGTTTGCGTTTTATTTAATAAAATGTGTATTATTAAAGAAATAGCAGCTAGTATCCTATAAACCTCTGTAGTATCCTTAAAGTGCTGTAGGAAAAAGTATTCAACTCTGAAATTCAGTTAAATAAAGGCGAACACAGACAATCATAGCAGTCTTAGCAGCTTGAAGTTCTGATCTAGACAATGTGTCTGCAAAACACTGAGCATCTCCATAAAACGGTTCATCCAAACAAGTTACAGACAGGTGAAAAAAACACTAAATGTTATGAATAAACCTTGAGAAATGTCTGGCTTGGTATGGGAATGATCATTTTCTGTCCCAAACGATCCCTAATAGGCAAACAACTCCTCTCACCCAGACACCATGAAGCCTTTCATATTTAAAGGAGTGAAAGTGAGTAAATGCAAAATCAGCACTCAATTTAATAAATGAACTGATCAAACGTCTTTATTGTCAACTACAATTTACATTGCAATCAAAATTTCAGTTTCAGTACAACCGTTCATCACAATACGGACTGAGAGGGTGGAACGCATCCACTGAGGCCATGCGTGCCACAGAACGCTGCCATTCGGCAGAACAGGGCATTCTTATGACTTGCCAGGTTCCCACCAATTACCCGGCTGCCCAGGTTCCCACCATATAACCGGCTGCCCAGGTTCCCGCCGATTACCCAGCTGCCCAGGTTCCCACCGTATACCCGGCTGCCCAGGTTCCCACCGTTTACCCAGCTGCCCAGGTTCCCACCGTATACTCGGCTGCCCAGGTTCCCACCGTATACCCGGCTGCCCAGTTTCCCACCGTATACCCGGCTGCCCAGGTTCCCACCAATTACCCGGCTGCCCAGGTTCCCACCAATTACCCGGCTGCCCAGGTTCCCACCATATAACCGGCTGCCCAGGTTCCCGCCGATTACCCGGCTGCCCAGGTTCCCACCGTATACCCGGCTGCCCAGGTTCCCACCGTATACCCGGCTGCCCAGGTTCCCACCGTATACCCGGCTGCCCAGGTTCCCACCGTATACCCGGCTGCCCAGGTTCCCACCGATTACCCGGCTGCCCAGTTTCCCACCGTTTACCCGGCTGCCCAGTTTCCCACCGATTACCCGGCTGCCCAGGTTCCCACCGTATACCCGGCTGCCCAGGTTCCCACCGATTACCCGGCTGCCCAGGTTCCCACCGTATACCCGGCTGCCCAGGTTCCCACCGTATACCCGGCTGCCCAGTTTCCCACCGTATACCCGGCTGCCCAGGTTCCCACCAATTACCCGGCTGCCCAGGTTCCCACCAATTACCCGGCTGCCCAGGTTCCCACCATATAACCGGCTGCCCAGGTTCCCGCCGATTACCCGGCTGCCCAGGTTCCCACCGTATACCCGGCTGCCCAGGTTCCCACCGTATACCCGGCTGCCCAGGTTCCCACCGTATACCCGGCTGCCCAGGTTCCCACCGTATACCCGGCTGCCCAGGTTCCCACCGTATACCCGGCTGCCCAGGTTCCCACCGATTACCCGGCTGCCCAGTTTCCCACCGTTTACCCGGCTGCCCAGTTTCCCACCGATTACCCGGCTGCCCAGTTTCCCACCGATTACCCGGCTGCCCAGTTTCCCACCGTTTACCCGGCTGCCCAGTTTCCCACCATATAACCGGCTGCCCAGTTTCCCACCGATTACCCGGCTGCCCAGGTTCCCACCGTTTACCCGGCTGCCCAGGTTCCCACCATATAACCGGCTGCCCAGTTTCCCACCGATTACCCGGCTGCCCAGGTTCCCACCGTTTACCCAGCTGCCCAGGTTCCCACCATATAACCGGCTGCCCAGTTTCCCACCGATTACCCGGCTGCCCAGGTTCCCACCATATAACCGGCTGCCCAGTTTCCCACCGATTACCCGGCTGCCCAGGTTCCCACCGTTTACCCGGCTGCCCAGTTTCCCACCGTTTACCCGGCTGCCCAGTTTCCCACCGATTACCCGGCTGCCCAGTTTCCCACCGTTTACCCGGCTGCCCAGGTTCCCACCATATAACCGGCTGCCCAGTTTCCCACCGATTACCCGGCTGCCCAGGTTCCCACCGTTTACCCGGCTGCCCAGTTTCCCACCGTTTACCCGGCTGCCCAGTTTCCCACCGATTACCCGGCTGCCCAGGTTCCCACCGTTTACCCGGCTGCCCAGTTTCCCACCATATAACCGGCTGCCCAGTTTCCCACCGATTACCCGGCTGCCCAGGTTCCCACCGTTTACCCGGCTGCCCAGTTTCCCACCGATTACCCGGCTGCCCAGTTTCCCACCGATTACCCGGCTGCCCAGGTTCCCACCGTATACCCAGCTGCCCAGGTTCCCACCATATAACCGGCTGCCCAGTTTCCCACCGATTACCCGGCTGCCCAGGTTCCCACCGTTTACCCGGCTGCCCAGGTTCCCACCGTTTACCCGGCTGCCCAGTTTCCCACCGTTTACCCGGCTGCCCAGTTTCCCACCGATTACCCGGCTGCCCAGATTCCCACCGATTACCCGGCTGCCCAGTTTCCCACCGATTACCCGGCTGCCCAGGTTCCCACCGTTTACCCAGCTGCCCAGGTTCCCACCATATAACCGGCTGCCCAGTTTCCCACCGATTACCCGGCTGCCCAGGTTCCCACCGTTTACCCGGCTGCCCAGTTTCCCACCGTTTACCCGGCTGCCCAGTTTCCCACCGATTACCCGGCTGCCCAGGTTCCCACCGTTTACCCGGCTGCCCAGTTTCCCACCATATAACCGGCTGCCCAGTTTCCCACCGATTACCCGGCTGCCCAGGTTCCCACCGTTTACCCGGCTGCCCAGTTTCCCACCGATTACCCGGCTGCCCAGTTTCCCACCGATTACCCGGCTGCCCAGGTTCCCACCGTATACCCAGCTGCCCAGGTTCCCACCATATAACCGGCTGCCCAGTTTCCCACCGATTACCCGGCTGCCCAGGTTCCCACCGTTTACCCGGCTGCCCAGGTTCCCACCGTTTACCCGGCTGCCCAGTTTCCCACCGTTTACCCGGCTGCCCAGTTTCCCACCGATTACCCGGCTGCCCAGATTCCCACCGATTACCCGGCTGCCCAGGTTCCCACCGTTTACCCGGCTGCCCAGTTTCCCACCGATTACCCGGCTGCCCAGGTTCCCACCGATTACCCGGCTGCCCAGGTTCCCACCGTTTACCCGGCTGCCCAGGTCCCAGGCGGTTCCCTATAGCGCTGCCTTTATCTCTGTGGAAAGATAGGAGCCAGACTGGGGAACACTTTATCCTTGACAGGGTACAGTATTCAGGAGATTGGGATAGGAATTAACACTGAAAAGTGAGCCAAGTGGAGACTCAATGGTGTGACTTCTTGTGTGAAGCAAATCCTTTTTATCTCCTGAATGCACCGAATGAGATTTTGCATCCAATGACACAGAAAATGGTGCCTTGGAGGTGGTGGCGTTTAGCGCTGATTGAGAGTCAATAGGGATGATTTCCTGCAGGGGGCAGTGAAGCTCTGACTGACATAGAGCCCAGGTCTATTTTAGTCGGACTACGCAGCAATTCAGCAGCAATTTCATGAGTCTGACAGGAAGAGAAACGAGGTAACAAAGTTAAACAAGTCTGCTTTGGGGGAAAATCCCAAATAAAATCTGTCAATCTCACGGAGAAAGAGTCAGTCTGGAGTCGCACATCGCGTTTATAGTGAGCAGGACAGACTGGAGCAAACACATTGAAATAGAAACTTTCCCCATGGTGGGAGATCAGGAGGATAGAAAATGGATAAAGTAGTGATCCTCCAGAATAAGGAGGAGCAGACAGAGCAGGTCAGCGCAGCGTATCTCTCTCACCTCTTTATGGAAAAAAGAAAGAAAAACTTCCCAGATCTCTCTGAGAATCACCTCTCTGCCTCAGTCACCATAGAAACCGTCCCACAGAGTTTATTGCTGCGATTTTCTTTTCTTTAGACGTAGATCTCATTATGTTTTAAATAGATGAACATTCTCTATCTGTTCTGGTTCTAGATGCTGCACAGAATCGTTTTTTTGTTGTTTTTGTTGTTTGAAACAAACAATAATAATTTCTCCAACTAGGCAGCACAATGGTGCAGTGGGCAGCAATGTTGCCTTGCAGTAAGAAAGTTCTGGGTTAGATTCCCGGCCCGGGGCCTTCTGCATGGAGTTTGCATGCATGGGTTCTCTCTGGGTACTCTGACTTCCTCCCACAGTCCAAAAACATAACTGTTAGGTTAATTGGCTTCTCTGAATTGTCCTTCGTTGTGAGTGTGGGTGTGCATGGTTGTGTGTCTCTGTGTTGCCCTGCGACAGACTGGTGACCTGTCCAGGGAATACCACAACCTCTTCTCACCATTAGACTGCCGGAGATAGGCACCAGCCACAATGCGACATGGACAAGGACTAAGCGGAAGAAAATGGATGGATGGATGGGTCAGTTCAAAGTGGGAAATGGTTTTAATGTGTGTATGTACAACGGAGTATTAGGGCCACACATGAAGAGAAAAAATATTTTTGCCATGACGAGTTTAAAGTCGACACGTCGAGATTAAACTCAACATGACATTTCAACTTTATTCTCGAAATGTTGAGTTTAATGTCGACATGTCGACTTTAAAGTCGACATGTCGAGTTTAGTCTCGTCATGGCAAAAATATTTTTTCTCTTCATGTGTGGCCCTAATACTCCGTCGTAGTGTATGCCACAGAGAGAGAAGTTAAAATAATCTGCACAGATCTGCTCACCCTGCCTAGTCAGAGCCTCTCTATACGCAGTCAGCGTGACATGGAAAAAAACTGGATCGGAGATTAAATATAAAGCATAAAAAATCTTTCTAAGCTTTGTGAGTTGCCATGTGGGATGTCAAATTTCCCTTCTGATTAAAACTTTTGCCACAAATCACACAGGAGAACGGTTTCTCACCTGTGTGAGTTCTTATGTGTTTTTCAAGATTAGATTTTTGAGCGAAGCTTTTTCCACAAGACAGACATTCAAAAGGCTTCTCACCTGTATGAGTTCTGATGTGTGCATCCAGATTAGATTTACGAGTGAATCTGCTCCCACAGGAAACACATTCAAATGGCTTCTCACCCGTGTGAATTCTCATGTGTTTATCAAAATCCCATTTTTGAGTGAAGCTTTTCCCACAGCACTGACATTCATACCTTTTACCTGTGTGAATGCTCATGTGGACATAGAAATTAATTCTTGTTTTGAATGTTTCTCCACAGATCTTACAGGGAAAAGAGCTTTGAGCTGAGTGAGTTCTCATGTGAGAATTTAATCTGCTTCTTACTATAAAACTTTTTTCACAAACTGTACAGGAGAACGGCTTCTCCCCGGTGTGGATTCTGACGTGTTTATCAAGACCAGATTTCTTAATGAAGCTTTTCCCACAGAACAGACATTTGAAAGGTTTCTCACCAGTGTGAACTTTCATGTGGTCATTCAAACAAGATTTTGAGATGAATGTTTTCTTACACAGCTCACATGGAAAAGGCCTTTCACCTGTGTGGGTTCTCATGTGGTTGGTTGATTGGATTTTTCTAGTAAAACTTTTGCCACAAATAGTACAGGAGAACGGCTTCTTTCCCGTGTGAAGACTGACATGCCGAATCATGTTAGTTTTAGTATTGAAACGTTTCCCACAGGACAGACATTTGAAAGGCTTCTTATCTGTGTGAGTTCTCGTGTGTTTATTCAATAAAGCTTTTGTCTTAAACCTGTTTCCACACTTGTTGCAGGAAAAAGGCCTTTCGTCTGAGTGACTTATAATGTGGATAGTCATATTACTTTTTTGGGCAAAACTTTTTCCACAAATGGAACAGATAAATGGTTTCTCTCCGGTGTGAATCCTGACATGTCTATCCAGACCAGTTTTATTAGTGAAGCTTTTCCCACAGGTCAGACATTCATAAATCTTCCCACCAGGGTGAGTTCTCATATGAACCGTTAAATATTCTTTTTCTTGGAAGGTTTCTCTGCAAACCAAACATGGGAATGGTTTCTCTTCTACGTCTCCTTCCTCCTCCTTGAGAAGCAGCTGCTCCTCCTGCTCACTGATGGGGAGCTCCATGGTTTCCTCTTTAGTCCAGGGATCTTCTGGCTTTAGCTGCTCTTCTTTCATCTGCAGAGGTTCTGGTTCCTCTTGGTCCAAACTGGAATTCCTCTCCTGTTTCCAGAGCTGCTGCTCAGAGAAATCCTCCTCTTTTCCAACCTGCAGGAGGTCTGGAAAGACAAACACAGGAGAAAGACGTGATGTTGGAGGTTACTTCCCCGTTACCATTAAAACCATCCAGCAGGACAAACCAGCTGGTTCTGAGTTATTCTGAATCAAACAGGATTATCTTTAATCCCAGATATCCTACATTCAGTCGCTCCATAGCAGCACTCTGATTACAGCTGGTAAAAACCGTCTCCATGGTGACATCAGAGGGAGCACCCTGCTGGAGCTAGCTTAGCACGCTATAATGGAGATGGATGAAACACTGATGATTGCTCAGATAATCTAGTCCAGAATCAGTCTGTGTGGTTGAACCATCAGCCAGTTGAAGCTCAGGAGAGGGTAGTGATGCTGAGGGACATGGAGTCAGACCTCTAGCCTACAGTCAGACTCTGAGGCTGATGCTAATACGGCCGCAGCTGCTCCACATGGTGGGGAAACATGGCTGCTATGCCTCTGCTACAGATACTAGAACCAGTTATTAGTTTATCAATAGCAATAAGGATGTAATACTTTATATCAACATACAGGACTTAAAGTAAAAAAAAAGTAAAAATCCTGTGCCTGAACTTTTTTGAAGAAGGCTGGGTTTTTTATAAATGGGAAAATTTGGCCAAAATGACGGGGCAGTCTTTTGTTGAATTAAGGATAAAGAACAACCAAGCGACTCGTTCAATGAGAGAACTAAAACACAACCAGTGTTGCCAACTCAGCGACTTTGTCGCTATATTTAGTGACTTTTCAGACTCCTCCAGCGACTATTTTTCAAAAAAGCGACTAGCGACAAATCTGCCGACTTTTTACGGTGTCACTGGCGGCTTTTGGAGAACGTGAAAGCATGTATCGTTCCTACTCTTGTCCTCCAGGGGCAGCTGCTGCCGTGGGGCGCCTCCCCCATCCCAACCCCGTTCTCCCGCAGGAGTCCCTCTCAGCGCTGCAGTCAGAGCCGCAGGATGTTTACCCTCAGCGTCCAGACTGCAAATGAAGCGCGCATGCGCCAGGATTGACGGCGCAAATTGATCACGCGGTGCCGCTCCGCCCTGACTTACATTCAAGGCGGGAGCGAGCGGGATGTAAATGTAAAATGTTATTTGGTCTAAAATAAATAACTGAGTTGAAATATTTTATCTTAACTAAATAACAGCATTTGATTCACACAGTCAGTCACTTAATCACCTTGTCCATTGAGTGAGTAAAAACACTATTATAAAGTGTTTTTACTCACTTTTTGTCTTTCTGTAACGACATTATTTCTCCCACAGCATCAATAACATGCACATCACTTCCTGTGGCAGATTATGCAAATTAGGCGATGACGTCATTCAGCGACTTCTAGCGACTTTTAGCACAGCCAATAGCTACGCTCCTTGCTGATTAGTTGGCAACACTAGCTACGTTTACATGGACACAACTAATCGGATTGAAGGCCTGATCAGATCAAAAATGTTTCATGTAAACATGTCAGACTGAAGATTCTAATCCGATTCGGTCCGATCGGATCTAAATTTAATTCCGAAAGAGAGAGGTGGTTTTTGCCGATCGCCATTCCGATTGGCGTTCATGTAAACACCCATTCGGATCTTAAGAGTAAAATAATCTTCACTGCGCATGTGTGCGACGTCAGCATGACGTTTTTCCGCCTTGTCAACAACAGGAAACCACCGGTCGCTCTCGCTGTGAACAACATGGCGGGAGGAGTCTAGGAACGCCGACTTATACATTCAAGTTCATTTAAAGCTGCAGGAAGCAGGAATTTATCCTCCTCCTCTTCCTCTTTTCTCTCTCCACAGCCCACTCGCTCTCCCACGCCGGCTCAATCGCTCATTCTCTACATTTTCTCTCGGACATTTCGCTGCCAAGCGCTTTTTTCCTCCTCTCTCCGTTTTTCTTTCCGCTCGCTCCGAGCGCATCGTTTGTCAGGCCTCCCAAAAACCAGACGCAGACAGAACTGCCAAGTTTGGCAGGAAGTTCTGCGCATGCTTAAAAGATTTAATCTGATCCAACGCTTGGTACATGTATACACACGTCATGATCGGATCATTTCATTTAGTGTCCATGTAAACGGAGATTTTGAATTTCCGATCAACCAAGGTTTGGATCGGATCGGGGAAATTTTGCGCATGTAAACGTAGCTACTGAGCACATCATGTTCAAAGCACAGAGGAGGTGCAGTTAGTGCTCCAACTTCTCTCCTGACCTGCTTCATCCACTTTGAAGGCAGCTCAGCGTCCTTAGGAAACTTAAATAAGCTGATGGCATCCTGACTGGGCTGAAGCAAAAAGCTGCGACACAACATGAAGGCAAAGCTCTATCTGAATCCAGTTTATAAGTAAACAGCTGGATTCATCTCTCAGTCGTTCTGCTGCATACCTCACTCCCTGCTGATCCTCTAAACAGCAGCTTCTTTTTTTATCAACAAAAACTATTTTGATGCAGGCACCCTTGAAATTAATACATTAATCATTGGTATTTATGTTTTGGCCAAAAAACATTATTAGAAAATGTCAATAATGTAAAACTGTAAGGATTTATGTAAATAAAGATGTTTTGAATAGTCATAAATTGACAAAATCTGAAAAAAAGAAATATGAAAGCAAGTTTTAAATTCATGTCAGGCTATTAGGATTGATTGACTTTATTGATCTCACAGTGGAGAAATGTATGCGTTACATCAACTAGTCAGAGAAGAAGACGAGGATGCGTGGCATATATATGCAGCACATACAGTGCGTCCACATATGGCAGCTTTTCTATAGCATTAATATTATACAGGGTTATTGCACAGGCCGTTTACATCGGTATCTATATAGATGGATATTTATATATAATATATATTTATAGCACTGTGTGCCAAATATAGAGAAACTGGTTATTGCACAAGTGAATTAAATAGTAATTATTCTCCATTGCAGCAGTTATTGCTGTTGCAGTTTCTGATTGAAGAGTCTGGTTGCAGCAGAGAGGAATGACCTGCAGTAGCGCTCCTACTGAGGGTGCGAAAGACTAAAGGAGCAGCTCAGCTCCTCTACAGTCTGCAGCAGAGGGTGGAAGGTGGCGTCCATGATGGATTCTATTCAGTTTATTTCTATAGCTCCAATTCACATCATGTCATCTCAGGTCACTTTCCAGTTCACCAGATCATCCAGTCAGATTGATTCAAAGTTTTCTATCTAAGGAAAACCAGCTGATTGCATCGACTCATTGACTCTTCAGCAATCCCTCACACTAAGCATGCTTGTAGCGACAGTGGAGAGGAAAAACTCCCTTTGAACAGGAAGAAACCTCCAGCAGAACCAGGCTCAGTGTGAGCGGCCATCTGCTGAGGCCCACTGGGGTTCCAGGAGACAGAAGCAGACATAGAAAAAGAAGCATAGATACAAAAGGCAACTGTCAACCAGCTCCACAGGCGGCCCCGTCCAGGAAACACACAGCCAGGCAGACGAGCTCCGAGCCAGCTCCCATGTCAGAGGATGAAGAGAGCACATCCAGTTAGTCACAGTCAGAGAAACAGGACTACACTGGAAAACAGGCCAAGCTTACACCAAAAAATAAAAAGTTTATAAAAAATTATAAAAATTAATGAAAAATAAAAATTAATGAAATTCATGAAAATATCCCAAAAATAAATTAATGAATTGTAATTATTTTAAATGATCCGCAGAAACCCTGGATCATTTCTACATGTTTTGCTGCTTTGAATTTAATCATCTGGCTCATGCTCTCTACGATCTCCAAGGAACTCAGAGCGGAGCGGACGGACAGTGGAGGCTGTAGGCTTTGCTTTGAGCAGCCGGTCTGGAGCGCAGCGGGGCGGAGCGCTGATGGAGTATGAGGGATTTCGGGGTTAGCCTGACATGTTGGTCGTGTTGCTGTTAGCATAAACAAAACGTGTTGCACAATGCTTGCACACTGTTGCACTTTTATCCACAGCTTTCTTTCCACACAATTCTCCACAACAACTGATTTTTTTCTGCTACACCCGGCTACGCTGCTTCGCTTCTTCTTCTTCTTCTTTACTACTGGTGGTTGGCTTTTGGTCGCAGTACCGCCACCTTCTGCTCTGGAGTGGAAACGCTTCCTCTATGAGAAAAAGGAGCAGCGCATGAACCGAACGCAACACACGCGAACCGAACCGAGACAGTCGAACCGAACGGTTCGGACGGTTTTCAGAAACCGTTCCATCCCTACTATATATATATATATATATATATATATATATATATATATATATATATATATATATATGTTGCCTTTGAGTTAGTTGCATGACTTCCTCAGATTTCTTTAGCAATTGAGTTAATATACTTCTATTGAACCACTGGTTAAAACCCTTACACTGTGTTTTATGTGTGATTGTTTTCGGCATGAGACAGAGATGAGCTGCAATGGAGAGAGTTCCAGAATGATCCAGCCAGGCTGTAATAATGATGTTGTTCCACCAGACTGCGAGAGTCTAGCATCATCCATGCAGCTAGTAAGCAGTGTTCTTCTGGAAGATGACCCAGCAGTCTGCTTAAAGCAGCTGTCTGATGGAGCACGCTGCTCCATAGCACGGAGAGGACCGCTCCCGGTGAAGGACAGGATCTTTCCAAAGAAATGGAGACGATGCAGATTTACTTCCAGCTATTATTTCATTCAAATGAAAAATGGAGAACAGATAAGCAGATCATGGCTTGTCTACAGTGAAAAGAAGGACTGGGTTATTTACTTTGGCCTTTTTGGAAACACAGGAAGGAGCAATCAGCTAAGTGAGCTTAGTGCTTGGAAAAAATCTTTCATTCCTTTAGAGACAGCATGAAAAGTCAGCTGAGTACAAAACATAGAGAGGAAAACAAGAAGAAAAGTCAGCTAGTTCAACAGTATCTTAAGGTTAAATGTGTAAAAGATAAGGAAAAACAGTGATTCTTTAAACTGCTTAGACTTACAAGAAATAAGGTTTACTAATAACAAGTTTTATGTTGTGTCCCCAAATTATAGAAGTATAATAATTAGAGGAGGAGATGTGAAGGTATCAGTAGAGTTAAAGGTGCGACTTTGTATGCAGGAAGTAACGCAGGAGTTCGCCAGTCAGACAGACGAGATCTGAAACATGTGAGCTGGTGAAACCATTTGTGAATAAACCTGACGAGTTCAGTAAGCTGTGTCAGCCAACAGTTTGACAGTCACCCTACAGAACATTACCAATATGGACGTCTGGCGCCCCCTATCACAGCAACTCCAGACACACACGGCTATTGATCAGCTGAAAAATCCCTGGAAAAAAGTTCTGAGGCGACTAAATGTGATTTTTAACCATCCTGCAGACTGAAATCTAGCATTTCATGGTCACTCTGAAAGACTGTTGGATATTTCCTTGGCCGAGTTCAATTCATGGCTTCATTTGGCCCAATTATGAGACAGAGCATCTGAGGAGACGTCCAAAGAGCTTATTGACAATTACTTAAGCTAACGCATTCAAAATGAAATCATCTTTATTGTGGAGAAAGAAAAGAAAGCTAAATATTCAGCTGCTGTCATGGAGCTCAGTCACAATGAGCAGCTGTCAGTGGTGCTACTGGTTTGAATGGTGAAAAAGGTATTTCCATTCATGAGGACTTTGCTGGTGTTCTACAGGCAGTAGGAAAACAGGGAGAGGCTTATGTGAGTCATTTTAGGGCATCTAGAAACACGAGGATGAAGATGTTGCTGCCAGTCTTAAAGCAACGGCAGTAACAAGCAGGGGTCCAGAAAAAGAGTCTTAGAACTAAATAACGAGGCTTGGCGTGTCCCTGTGGAAATCACACTTTAAACCTGGGGGTTGGTGACGCTGACATCCATCAGCTTCTATGGCCTGTGACTCTACACTCTGACCCTTCAGTTCACCGCTGGTCCATTCTCAGAGTCACCAGCCAGGTGGGCGTCCAGGATCGAAGCTATCAAAGCTGTTCTCTACCTGCTTCCTGAACTGATAGCGGCATTGGCTGCTCTAAAGGACTGTGCCACGGAGAAAAGGGAGGCAGAGGTTGTTTCAGCATCTGCCAGGAGAAGCAGAGGAGCCTTTTCTGGTTAGCACCATTGTTAGGTGCAATGTGTTGGTCCAGATAAAGAAAGCCAGCAAGGTCTCACAGAACCAGAACGTTCCAACTGAATCAGTCAGGAAAGAAATCAGGGCATCATGGGTTCAACAGAGGCCAGGAAACCAGCTGAGAGGCTGAACATGGAGATGAGTTGGCCAGAGGTGCATCAGAGAAAAATAACCCGACTATTTGAATGTGAAGGAAGAGGGTCTCATGAGATTCAGAGGAGACGTGGAGGCTTCGGTGCAGCCCAGTGGAGGTGATGTGGTTCGGAACCAGCACCTCATACTCTGGGCAAGAAACTAAAACATGTTTGGAAAATATGTAGAAAATAATTTCTCCATGTGACGTTAGCAGATTCTATCTAGAAGCTGCAGTACGGCGCGCTGAAACCGCTGCAGACAGATGCTTATGGGAGGAAGACGGCCCTGATACGCCGACACTAGATGGTGGAAGAACCAGGAACATTTCTGACATGGTGGACAGAACGGATCAACCGCATTCTGAGCTACGGTCATTAGCAGCAGAGAGGGACAGCAAGCCTCTGAACAGACGGTGAGACCATTCTGTTTCTGGTTTCTTTTCTCTCTAATGAACCATGGGGCAGAGGACCAGGCCCTAAAGCCGACTGCTAGACCTCTAAAAATAACATCAAAGTGGTCGGGGGTCTCCCAATTAAAAGTACATAGGATTAAAAACTTTATTATTCTAATTTAAAACCCAATAAGGCATAGGAACCCGTGACTCCACTAGAACACATCTGAGACTTTAGGAATACACTGCAAACCAAAGGAGTAGCAACACAAGTTAATGACGAAAAATAATGTTAAACCAAAGAAAACGAATCTCGCATTGCGTCATCCAGTCCTTGTAGAGCTGTGGCCAATCAACTAATTCAGAAAAATAGTAAACTGTCCTTCTGGCTCTGCAGCGTTTGCACTACAACCGCAGCTCTAGAGGAAAACTATTAGCCTGTTAGCCAAGAGCATCTGAAGAGCACCAGAGGATTAGGGCCAGGCTAGACATTATTTTACTTCTATTTAGGGAATAAAGTCCAAACATTACGAGAATAAAATCATAAAATTACGAGAATACAGTCGTAAAATTATGAAAAATAAAGTCGTAACTTACGAGAATAGAGTCATAACATTAGGGTAATAAAGTTATAACATTACAAGAATAAGTCGTAAAATTACGAGAATAAAGCAAAATTATTCTTGTAATGTTACGACTTTATTCTCAAAATAGAAGAAAAAGAATCCCTAGCATGGCCGGTAAATGAGAGAATAATATGCAGCCGCAGCAATCTGTTCTACCCAATAAAGTGTTGGACGACAACAATAAAGCCATGAGGTCAAATGGAAAACTTGTACCTTAATCAGCCTCACAACTGGGGACACTGCAGGAAAACCCCGACATTCTTCCCACAAAGCAATTAGAAATCAGGTCAAAAACGATCAGCAACCTTATAAAAAGTGACCTGGCATTAAACAGAAGAACCACCAGCAGCACCAGTATCCAGGATCTGAATGCTGGTGCAGCCGCGCGGCGCCAACGCTCAGCCCTCAGAGATCCAACTGCAGGACACCATGGACCGGACTCTCCTAGCTAGCCAGCCACACCCGCTGCCTAGCTACGCTAATGAACCCCATGATGCGGCAAAACAGGAGGGAAGGCGGGGAAAACTGGGCAGTGATGCTTTCAAGGGCCTGAAATGGGTGGGAATTTAGAGATATTTTATGGAAACACTGTTTTCAGGTAATAAACCACCCGCTTACATTAATTTGGAAATAGTTGAAATAGTTGGTTCTCTCTAACAGACGGGGAAGGAGGAAAGAGCTGGCAACAAGGATCGATACTGATGGACATGAGATTGATCTGGATTTTAGATCTATGCTGACTTTCTATGTTCTTCCAGAGGAAAAAATAAATGATAAAAAAGAGAAATATGACATAGATCTGCAAAGTAATCTGTGTGTCCACCGTCCTTCCTCTGCTCCAGCTCAGCTGACCTGCAATGATCACTGATTCAGGAGCAGCTGTGCTGAAGCCACCTGCTACACCAACACCAGAGGCGGATCTATTCTCATTTTCTATCCACTGGCTTGTTTTGCTAAGAAATGTTTCCGTTTAGTTTAAACTGAAATGTTTGTTTTCATAGTGGAGAAAGAAAAGTTAGAATGCTTAAAACATTTAAACCCACCCAGAAAGAGATCCGTTAGTCAGGAATCAGTTCATCTCTAACCTCCAGCCTCCTGCTGCTCCTCCTGCTCACTGATGGGGAGCTCCATGGTTTCCTCTTTAGTCCAGGGATCTTCTGGCTTTAGTTGCTCTTCTTTCATCTGCAGAGGTTCTGGTTCCTCTTGGTCCAAACTGGAATTCCTCTCCTGTTTCCAGAGCTGCTGCTCAGAGAAATCCTCCTCTTTTCCAACCTGCAGGAGGTCTGGAAAGACAAACACAGGAGAAAGACGTAATGTTGGAGGGGAAAGGAAGGAGACATTGAGGCGGCTAAACTGCACCGTATTTTCTATGATTGTTGTTAAGCCAGAGCTCAAACCGTATGATGAACCCCAGCGATTAAAAGTCCTTCTGGATTTTCTGGATATCCTGTCCTGGTTAAGCCGTTCAACAGTAACATATCAGTTGCCATGACGATCTACTCCTGCTCTTCACCAGGCCACAATGAGCAGTTTCCAGGTCTGAATCTTTTTTAATCAGCCTCCATTAAAACCACCAACGTTCCAGAAAAAATAGAATAGAAAATCCCTTTATTTCCCTCAATGGGGAAATTCTGGTGTTTATAGCAGCAAAAAGATTCTAGAAAAAGATGGTCACAAAAATATAGACAGAAAAAAGTCTAAGAATAACATAATAGTGAAGAGTTAAAAGATAAACAATAAAACAATATAAAACTGGAGAATTAATAACCAATATGCAGCTATGGACATTTTTACAGTAATGGATATTTGAAAATAGCAGCAACATCAGAGATGAGCAGAATGACAGCAGCAGGTTATTTAACTGACTAAGGTAGAAATCAGCCTGAATGGAAGAACTGGTTGAGGTTGTTGGGAACAGTGGTGGTTCTAGAGTCTTCCAGCTGCTGGGAGGAAGGATCTGTGATAACGCTTCCTGGTGCATTTAAGGTGCAGCAGTCTGTCACTGAAGGAGCTGTCCAGTTCAGCACCAGCTGAACCAGCATGGGGGGGGGGGTATACATTACCTTTCACTACAAACCATCATTTTCTGCTCTTTGTTGTGTTTTTAAAGCATTTGGTCTCAGTTTGCCAGAAAGGCCTTTAATAGACCATAACATCTGAGTTATTTTATCTTATGCAGGCCGCTGGGTCCATAAATCCAGAACAGACCCACGGCCCGTCACCTAGTCTGTTTGTTCCTGTCACCATCAGTGATGGCCAAAAGAAGCCTTACCAAACCATGACGCCTTCTAACCCAATGCTTTGCCTCAGGGGCCGATATAGGAAATGTGGGGCCCTAGGCAAAGACAGGCAGGGGGCCCTCTGAAGTGAGAAGACACACATAGAACAGACCCATTATACAGATAGAGAAATGTTAATAGAATAGACCAGTATCAGGTGGTTCCTACCTATGGTTCCTAGGCTAGTGTCTCCAGGTAGCCTGATGAGGGCAGCGTTAGTATCAGGTGGTTCCTACCTATGGTTCCTAGGTTGGTGTCTCCAGGTAGCCTGATGAGGGCAGCGTTAGTATCAGGTGGTTCCTACCTATGGTTCCTAGGCTAGTGTCTCCTGGTAGCCTGATGAGGGCAGCGTTAGTATCAGGTGGTTCCTACCTATGGTTCCTAGGCTAGTGTCTCCAGGTAGCCTGATGAGGGCAGCGTTAGTATCAGGTGGTTCCTACCTATGGTTCCTAGGCTAGTGTCTCCAGGTAGCCTGATGAGGGCAGCGTTAGTATCAGGTGGTTCCTACCTATGATTCCTAGGCTAGTGTCTCCAGGTAGCCTGATGAGGGCAGCGTCAGTATCAGGTGGTTCCTACCTATGGTTCCTAGGCTAGTGTCTCCAGGTAGCCTGATGAGGGCAGCGTTAGTATCAGGTGGTTCCTACCTATGGTTCCTAGGCTAGTGTCTCCAGGTAGCCTGATGAGGGCAGCGTTAGTATCAGGTGGTTCCTACCTATGGTTCCTAGGCTAGTGTCTCCAGGTAGCCTGATGAGGGCAGCGTTAGTATCAGGTGGTTCCTACCTATGGTTCCTAGGCTAGTGTCTCCAGGTAGCCTGATGAGGGCAGCGTTAGTATCAGGTGGTTCCTACCTATGGTTCCTAGGCTAGTGTCTCCAGGTAGCCTGATGAGGGCAGCGTTAGTATCAGGTGGTTCCTACCTATGGTTCCTAGGCTAGTGTCTCCAGGTAGCCTGATGAGGGCAGCGTTAGTATCAGGTGGTTCCTACCTATGGTTCCTAGGCTAGTGTCTCCAGGTAGCCTGATGAGGGCAGCGTTAGTATCAGGTGGTTCCTACCTATGGTTCCTAGGCTAGTGTCTCCAGGTAGCCTGATGAGGGCAGCGTTAGTATCAGGTGGTTCCTACCTACGGTTCCTAGGCTAGTGTCTCCAGGTAGCCTGATGAGGGCAGCGTTAGTATCAGGTGGTTCCTACCTACGGTTCCTAGGCTAGTGTCTCCAGGTAGCCTGATGAGGGCAGCGTTAGTATCAGGTGGTTCCTACCTACGGTTCCTAGGCTAGTGTCTCCAGGTAGCCTGATGAGGGCAGCGTTAGTATCAGGTGGTTCCTACCTACGGTTCCTAGGCTAGTGTCTCCAGGTAGCCTGATGAGGGCAGCGTTAGTATCAGGTGGTTCCTACCTATGGTTCCTAGGCTAGTGTCTCCAGGTAGCCTGATGAGGGCAGCGTTAGTATCAGGTGGTTCCTACCTATGGTTCCTAGGCTAGTGTCTCCAGGTAGCCTGATGAGGGCAGCGTTAGTATCAGGTGGTTCCTACCTATGGTTCCTAGGCTAGTGTCTCCAGGTAGCCTGATGAGGGCAGCGTTAGTATCAGGTGGTTCCTACCTATGGTTCCTAGGCTAGTGTCTCCAGGTAGCCTGATGAGGGCAGCGTTAGTATCAGGTGGTTCCTACCTATGGTTCCTAGGCTAGTGTCTCCAGGTAGCCTGATGAGGGCAGCGTTAGTATCAGGTGGTTCCTACCTATGGTTCCTAGGCTAGTGTCTCCAGGTAGCCTGATGAGGGCAGCGTTAGTATCAGGTGGTTCCTACCTATGGTTCCTAGGCTAGTGTCTCCAGGTAGCCTGATGAGGGCAGCGTTAGTATCAGGTGGTTCCTACCTATGGTTCCTAGGCTAGTGTCTCCAGGTAGCCTGATGCGGGCAGCGTTAGTATCAGGTGGTTCCTACCTATCCGGTGTAAGATGATCTGGGGGATCCTGGTGAAATCCAGCAGTCTGTGCTGATCATCCATCTTCTCCTCCTCGATCTGATCTAATCTTCCTTTAAACTCTGGGAATGTTTCTCCAGCAGGAGTTAACTGCTCGCTGACAAACTCTCCTTCCAGCTGGACTCAACACATTCTCACTGCAAACACTCACACATTAGCAGCCTCTCTGCTAGCACACGGAAGCTAATGCTAATGCTAACAGCTGCTAGCTGCACAGTCCGGCTTCTTCTTCTTCTGAGTTTTAATGTTGTTGACAAGCACATTGTATATTAGCTACTGCCTCCTACTGGTATGGGTGCTGAAACTACAGGCTGGATTCCGGCCTCTGCTCTGTCTCTAGTTAATAACTGGAAAATCGATGTTGTTGTTTTTTTATTGAACAGATGTTTCCTCTGTCTCTGGGTGAGAGGATTAGAGGCTGTTTGGAACATAGATATACACAGACTGATTTCACTTTGTCGGCGCCATCTTGGGGCGGTCAACAGCTCCGCTCAGTGTAATGTGTTGAGCAGGAGCAGAATCAATTTTAATCAACTTTAACTTTCTGAATAGTAAACTAGTTTTCATGTTTTTTGTTTGCTGAAAATAAACTAATGGTTCAGTTTATTTAAATATCCTTGGTAGAGTTAAGAGAAATAGAATATTCTGATAGGATGGATGCATGCTGCAAACCACAGCCAATCTTTAGACATATTTAAAAATCTATATAAAATAAATATTCAAACATATTTATAAATGTATAAACAAAAATATTTAAACATATCTCTTTCTTTCTTATTTATATATATATATATATATATATATATATATATATATATACAAGCAAAGCAAAAAGGAGCATTTTTTAGAAGAATATTCCAGCCAATCAAAGCTTTTAAATCAACTCATTTCATGGAAACTTTTCAATCAGTTTTCATGAAACGAGATTTCTCCTTTTTTTCCCCAAATATATTTATTGAACATTTTTTAAAACAATAACATACAGAGTGCATATATAAAGATGACACATTTAGTGGCACATCTGTATGTAAACACCTCGAAACAACGCTCAACAACCCCCACCCTCACCTCTACAGGCTTTGACCAGACAGACAGAACACACAAGCATTCACACACACACACACTTACTCTTTAGGGAAAAATCAATAAAAATAATCAATAAATAAAAATATTAGTATAGAAAATCTGAACGAGGAGAAAAAATTATATATATACCGTATATGTGCTGTCCTCGCCCTGAGTTTTCCAGTTTTTCAGCAAGCTAGACAGCCAGACAACGACGCTCCAATAACCAAACTTCTTTCTCTTTTCACTTGTTTATTGAAGAGTGGACTCTGACCACTGCCATCACTTTAGCCATCACTTAAACTGTAACATACAAACATTACAAAGTCAATCACTCTTGCTGCAAGTTAAATAAAGCAGGTTCAATAAATAACTAGTGAACAATTATTCACTTCAGTTACATAAAGACCAGAAACAGTTGTTTTCACAAACAAACGGTACTTACGAACAAATCTTGTCTGAAACTCAACGTGAAAGATATCAATCAGCTCATTTCCCAAATTATTTGGTGCTGCATTCCACCATCTTGGATCTACACCTTACTTTAATGTCACCAAATAATACAGTGAATTATCCAGCAGGGGGCGCCCTAGTGCGCTTTTCAACCAAAGAGGCAGCACACTCCCCGCCTGGTACAATACAACTGTGCCACTACAGCAATCTTTTCCGTAAACATTTTGAACCGTTTATAGCTATAACACTTTAACTTTCATCTGATAAAAGCAAAACCAAATCAGTAACGGGTCTAAAAAACACTTTTTCATTTCTTTCTGTTACAGTTTTTACTTCTTCTTTCCGAACCTTATTGTCCTTGCTCTCAAATGTTCTCACAACCTTTCCCATGGACCAGTTGTTTCTGTGAGCGAGAGCATCTTTCAGTAACACAACGTCACCAACTTTAATGTTCGGTTTATCGTCCGTCCATTTTCTGCGTTTCTGCAAAGTTGATAAGTACTTACTTTTCCACTGTTTCCAAAAAGAGTCTGCCAGACACTGTACCTGCTTGCATTGCTTTGAGTATAAGTCTGGAGATGCTTCCTGCTGGTGCAGATAGCGCATTCGTCTTATGGGTGAGAAGCATTGCTGGAGTGAGGAGGTTTGGTTTATCTGGATCTGTTGAAATTGGAACAAGTGGTCTTGCATTTATTATTGCTATCACTTCGGCCATGAATGTACTTAACACGTCATGTGTGAGTTGGATGCGTTTGGCTTTCAAAAGAATTCCGTCCAGGATGCGCCTTGCAACTCTGATGAGTCGCTCCTACGATCCACCCATGTGTGAGGAGTGAGGAGAGTTGAACAGCCATGTGCATCCTTTCTCCAGCAGGTAAGAGTTCAGCTCTGTGTCTTTATGGTCCATTTGCAGTTCATTGCATGCTCCAATGAAATGTGTCCCTCTGTCAGAGCTTGATGTTGACATTGATTCAATCAGCTCAATGTGCACAGCTCTTGTGGACATGCAGGTAAACAGTACAGCCCAGCGTTTGCGACGTGTAGAGAATGTCCAGGGCCCAAAAACATCCAGCCCACACTAGTGAATGGCAGCATGGTTGACAGTCTGTCAATGGGTAAATCGGCCATCTTTTGAATTTGCATTTTTCCTCCAAGTTTTCTGCAGAGGACACATTTGTGAATGATGGAAGCAATAAGCCTTTTACTGCCAATAATCCCAAATCCAGCTCCTCTGAGGGCTCCTTCTGTTATGTCCCTGATGTGCCACTTTCTCATGATAGTATCTGATAAGAAGGATAGAAATATGATGAGACTTTGGAATAACAACAGGATGTTTCTCCTCTTTTGTGAGGTTAGCAGGTGCCAAGCGACCTCCTATTCTGAGAAGTCCTTCCTCATCAATGACAGGATTCAACTTTTGGAGACAACTCTGCTTTGGAAGTGGCTGATTTGTTTTTATGCACCTGAGCTCCTCTTTGAATGTTTCCCTTTGTACTGTGTGAACGATAAACTTGGCTGCTATAGAGACTTCTCCTGCAGTGTTACTGTCGCTGAAACACTTCCAGCCTTTACTTTTTGTGTCTGATTTCTTGAATGATGCTGCCACACGCTTTAGTGATGCGACAGTGCGACGCAATCTCATCCAATGAGAGAATCTTTCAAAGCGAGATGGTTCCAGCTGCGTTACTGAGGTGTTGAAATCAGGCCTGATCTCTGTATCTGTTTCAGGGTCAATGAATGTAAAACCATCACAGCGTGATGTCTCAATATCATGTAATGTCAAAAAGGAAGGGCCACTAAACCAGTTTGTGGAAGCTAATGTGGAAGCTGAGATCAGTCTGGCTGTGTCTGCTGGATTGTCCAAAGTGGATATGTAAACCACTGTGCTGGATGAGTGGTCTTCCTGATTCCAGCCACTCGGTTGGCCACATAGGTATAGAATCTCTTTGAGCTGTTATGTATGTAACCAAGGACGATTTTACTATCTGTGAAAAATCTGACAGCGTCCACTTCAATGTCCATCTCATCTCTAATGAGTTCGTATATTTCTACAGCTAAAACTGCTGCTCATAATTCCAACTTAGGAGGCAACTTTGGACTTGCGACTGATGAAACCTATGTTCCACTGACCTTCATTGTGGAGAGCTCTCAGGTATGCCACTGCTCCTATGGCCATGATGGAAGCATCTGAAAATATGCAGTTCTCTCCTTGCAGCTAAGGACCGGGAGAATGAAAAGTAGCACCTTCATATTTGTAGCTCCTCCAGATCTTTCAAAGAATTTCTCCATTTATCCCATTCCTCTTCTCCTTCTGCAGGAAGTGGTTCATCCCAGTCTTTTTGCTCTGTGGATCGGTCACGGAGAAGACCTTTTCCCTGCATTGTGATGGGTCAAACAAAACCTAATGGGTCATATAAACTGTTACCAGTGGCCAAGACACCTCTTCTGGTGAATGGCTTTTTCTCAGTTGTGGCATGAAAAGTGAAACAGTCACTTTTGAGATTCTACAGCACCCCTAAGCTCCTTTGCAGGAGCATGTCGTCCAAATCCAAGTCTTTTAGATCTTTGGCTCTTTCTGCAGCAGGAAATGCTTCCACTACTTTCTCATCATAAGAGGCTATTTTATGTAGCTTCTAATTAGCCTGAGCCAGCATGCTTTGTGCATTTGTAAGTGTTTCAATAGCTTCTTCTTTTGTTGCTGTGGATGAAAGACCATCATCAACATAAAAATGTCTCATTATGAAATGCTTTGCTTCCTGGCCAAACTCTTCTTCTCCTTCAGCTGCGCTGCGTCTCATACAGTAAATAGCCACAGCTGGTGATGGACTATAACCGAACACATGAACCTTCATTCGGTAATCACAAATGCTTTTGTTGGTATCATTATCCACATACCAAAGAAATCTTAAATAATCCCTATGGTCCTCTCTCACTTCAAAACAGTAAAACATTTGTTGCACATCAGCTGAAAATGCTACTGGTTCTTTTCTAAAGCGCATTAGAACACCTATTAGAGTGTTATTTAGGTTGGGTCCCCTTAATAAAACTTTAAGGGACAGTCCTTCAAACTCTGCACTTGAGTCAAAAACCACTCTCAGCTGGTCAGGTTTTTGCGGGTGGTACACGCCAAAAGATGGTAAGTACCAGTGTTCTTTGAGTCCAAAGGTAAAGCGCCCTCTGCGTGATCATTGTCCAGCATGTTTTGGATGAACTCTGTATATTGTCTCTTCGTTTCAGGCTTCTGGTCCAGTGTTTTTCTGAGGGAATGGAGGCGTTTGAGTGCTTCCTCTCTGTTACTTGGAAGCTGTGGTCTAGGAGAACGGAATGGCAAAGGTCCCACCCAGCTATTTCCTTCATTCTGGTACACCTCCTTTACCATAATGTCAATAAACTCTATCCTCTGCTGACAGTGCTGGTTTGTCATCATCTTTTGTTCCTTCAAACACTGTTTCTCCCAGTTGACTTGTTGCTGTTTTTTAAACTGGGGTTGCTTCAGCGGCCCCAAAAATAGGCTAAAAGTTAGGCTGTAAAACACAGACGCTTCTAGTTAGCATGTAGCTGCTATTATAGGTCTTTATATGTGCAGTGATCCTATTTAGTCTACA